GTTTTGCGAAAACAAATTACAATCCAATTTAATACAATATTGCTAAATTTTATTAGCTGATTAACTGACAGAGTCATATGATCATAGTTTTCAGACTGTATTAGTTATCTAACTATGCTGATATTAGTTTATTTAATTTCAGTAAATATACTACTTAAGACTTTGCACCTTTATGATATTTCTTATTTGAATTTTTAACTCATACTGGTTTGATATTCATGACAGTATTCTCTATTTATTCATTAATAAAGGTTTTGATTTAAAGCACAGTAGTTACTTATTTTTTCTGAAACATGGTTATTTTATTATTTCAAGATTTAAGTGCACAAATAGGAGTGTCAGAAAATGAAATTTAAAAATAAATAAACAAAATTTTTTTAAAAAAAGGAGTAATCTGTGTACTCAGTACACAAAAGAAACGAATATTTTTTTAAAATTTTGCTGCAAACTAAATTTAGCAAAAAATCAAAATCATGCGGCATCATCTGTAAATACTTTCCGAATTGTACTCTTTACGCAACTCCCGGAGCAGGGTATTACAAAGGCACCGTGAATTTCTTGTTGTTTGACCCAATTTCTGATCCAAACGCATTTCCCCCCCCCTTCTGTAGCAGTAGTTAAGTTCAAAATTGTAGCTGTATGGTAAAAATTTAAAGTAAAACAGTCATCCATTATTTTGACTATTTGACAACACCATAAGCTTTGTTTACAAATCGTAGATAGTGTGACGCTGTAGAGGGCAGGAACACTTCCTTTCACAGTGATTGGCTGAGTGAGTTCCTGTGCTAACGAGAAAATCGTTCTGTGTGGTCAGGCGAGCTATCTCAGATATTGTCAGCGAGCTAAGTCGGCCGAGGAAATTGCTACGTGTAGACGGGCCTTTAGTTAGGCTCTGTTTGCTGCAGTTAGTGTCGTAGCTTTGTGTACAGTTCCAGGGGTTGTAACCTTGTTAACCCTTTCCAACACACTACCTTTTAAAGTTTAAGAGTTTTGATAAAAAAAAAAAAAAAAGGTTGGCAGTCTAATTTGGCCTAGAGGAGTACACAAGTAAAATGTTGTGAAAATAGCATTTTAATAGCGTTTTAATTCTGTGGGTGTGCCCAAAGCACGCTGATTGAATAGAGCTTCGAAAAGAGTGCTGAAACGAGCACTGTTGTCAATAAACTGACTGATGAGATGCGGAGAAACAAAGAATACAGACTCTCAGTTGTCCTAGATTATTGTTGAGCCCGGTCTGGGCACACCTAGGGTTCGCCGTTTGATTTTAGGCAAGATTTCATGGTAAAAATTTTAAACTAATATAGAATAAGGAGATTAGCATACAGCCAAAAAAATAACATAAAAATTTCTTTTCAAACAATTAATTTTATACCTTAAAAAAATTCTGGAAGAATTCTTTGAAAAATGAGGGTCTTAAAAAACTAAACATGGCTAAAATATATGAACTGGTTTGTCTTGAACTGTTATCTACTACAAATAAAGAAGGTTCAGAATAACCTATAGTAACCTACAAATCCTTTTTCATTCAATTTTTCTGTGCATACAGAAGGAAATTTTTAGGTGTGTCCAGATCGGACACACAGTGGCACAAAGGGTTAATATACTTTAAGATTACAATAATCCATTAAAGCACCAGAGGTGATAAGTTGTTTTGTATTTTTTTAATTCTCAGTAGATGCAAAGAATAAGTTTTACTTGAATTTTTACATTTTTATATTTTATCTTTTAACCACAGTGAATATTAATAAAAGGCAATAACTCGCTTTAATATGTAGAAAAGATTTTTAAGGGTAATAACTCGCTTTAATATGTAGAAAAGATTTTTAAGGGTAAGCAGTTAGTTATAAATAATTAAATTAGGTAGTCTGATAACCTTAGTCATTATGGATTTACATGACCACCATTAAATTTTATTTTTTAACAATATTTGTTAAAAAAAACCCTAAAATTTAATTTAATCTGGCTCAATATGAGAAAACAGAAATGGGAAATTATAATAAAGGCTGAAATCATAAACAATTGGGTAATTTACATAATAATAACTGCACATATCTTTGAAGAATAATTTTCTTTGCGTATCCAGTTTCTTTCTTCAACATGTTTCCTTTTTATTTTAGAATGTTTGGATTTAATTAAGGATTTCTGTTATTTTAAAAAACACTAAATGCATTTAGAATGTACAGAAAAAGTGGCTACTTTTATTTCTTTAGTAATATAAACATCCAGAAGATATATGAAATATCTATAGTAAAGGCCGGTTACAGAGCTAGAAATGGCAAAACTTTTAGAATTCAGAGCAGGCATTGGAAGCTGAATTTAGAAAGGCGCTATGCAGCAGAATTTAGGATCCACAGAGATTGCATCAGGTGGGAAAATGCCTCTGTGTATGATAAGAATACACAGAGGTTCTGTTCTGTTCATTAAGTTCTGTTCATTAAGAAATATTAGACAAATCTTTTAAATTGTAAGTTTTCAATTTCTTTATTAATAAAAAAATCCCTTTCTATAATACCTGCCCATGTGATAAGATTAGAATATTTTCCATGCTTGCGTCTGGTAAAAAGTAGAGAAAATAAAGGAAAGATAGATATGTTAAGATTCGTACATCCATTATGTGTTGATACCATGGAGACATTTTTCATTTTGTCACATATTTCTTGATTCTTCTAGAATTGTGGGTCTATAAATCTTCAAATCCTTCTAAACTTTTCAAGCTGAAATGTCTAAAATCCTAAAGAAAAATTATCCCTTCCATTTCTGTAACAGCAAAAAGGCAGAAATATTTTGAAAAAAAAAAAAGGGGGGGAAAAAGTATAAAATTAATTTTATAGAGAAAACTGATGCACATTTTGAGAATTTTGAATATTCTGAGATAATTACATAGGAAAAACTTGTACTATGAAAAAATTAAAAACAACACATTTTTAATTAATTACATAGCTAATTTTGCTTTTGCTAAGAGCTGTTTCATAAATTGTGCTTTACAGCATTATACCTTATTTATTTTTCTGATTCAAAATATTGTATAAGTTGGCCAAAATGAAACTTTATAATATGACAGCAAAAAATATAAATGTTTTATTTTAATGTTATTTTTTTAAATATAATATCAATATATTTCTATTATTTTAATTAAATTTATCAATGTTACGATGTTTTTAAAAAAAAAATAGTCGAAAAATTCTCAGATCTTGGAATTAAAAAGTTTCTACAAAAACTAATTTTAAAATCGCCAAATTTAGAAGAGTTTAGTAAAAGAATTTGCATCCCCAAAAGCGAAAAGTTGTTTAAAAGCTCTTTATTAGAAAAAATGAATTTCGAAGTGCTTATGTTTCACTTCTTGCTTAGAAACTCGAGTATCCCATCATTTATATTAGAAATAGAAACAAATTATAATTCATTAACCCATTCAAAAGATACAGCAGTGAATCGCCAAAAATATTCCTCCAAAATGTTAATTCACACTCAATGGCAGTCGTAAAAACAGACAGAAATTTCAGATGATTAAAATTAAGGACCTTTAAGGACTTTGGACCAAAGACCAAAATTGATTCTAAAAATTCCAAGGACTTTTAAGGACTCTTAAGGACCGTACGAACCCTGTGAAATGTTTCAGATTTCAAATTACATCCAAACGGGTGTTTCCTTTAACATTTTGTGTGTTACCTTTATTTATTAAATAGCACGTTCTTTGCACCCTAAACCATAAAATTCAGTTCAACAGCAATGTCGCAAAATAATTTTAAATCGAACATATCTTTAGAATTTCCGATACACAGTTCCGTGCGTTGGATATAAAAAAAGGTCCCCCCCGGGTAGTGTGTTGCCATTGCTCGCTTTTAAATCTTTCAGTTTGTTAATCAAAAATTCGTAAAAGTTTTACAAAATATGAAATTGCTAATAAAACAAGTTTTACAAAATATGAAATTGATAATAAAACAAACTCCAAATTTCAAATTTGGGCTTTCAGATGCCCGTATTTGAAGTAGGATTACGTCATTTAAAATAGTATGGCTCTAGGTACCGTTGTTTTATCACAATGCGAGAAACATGCATACATTTATCCAGAGTCCTCATTATTTAATTTCTTCAAATATAATACAGGGTGACAGTATTTGGCAGCAACGATGTGAAAAGTGATACAGCCTTTAAAAGTTTTCAACGCAAAATCGCAAACGATAGCAATAGTTATTCAGGGACAAAGCCACTTTGGACTAAAAACACTAACTAAATAGTAACTTTTAATGTAAGTGCAAAAACTATGCAGACAAACTTAACAAACTTCAACATGCTCTTAGCAGAAGAGGCACCACAGGAGCAGGAAACACAGCCTTGGATATTATTGAAAATGAATGAAAACGGATGGTTCCAATAATTTTAAGCTCTTGCATATAAGAAAATAAAAGCATTGCTGTGAGGGGATCCTATATACAGATTTAAAATCTTGTAGCATTGAAAAATCAATACTATCAAATCAATCTAAATATTTAAAATAAAAATTAGGACTAACAGTTTTAATTTATCGTTTAATTTAATCTAGTTTTTTGATGATAAAAAGTGTGTTCTATATTTTCTTTTGCAACTATTATTATGGTACAAATTACATTCACCAACTCCTATTATTATAGGATGTCTATTAAAATGATCTAGGGGGAAAATAAATAGCCTGCATTACTTTTTTATAATATCTCTCTCTCTCTTTTATCTGTGTTAAAAATTTCTAAATTTAGTAAATGTTATTTCTTTTAATGCATGCCTTTATGCTTTAAAACCGCGAAAAATGTGAGGAAATATTCAACTATCTTAATCTAACTTGTCACCTTTGCACAAGAAGTCCAAAAATTTTTAATAATTCCTTCAGAACTATGCATTTACTGGTTGGCAAAATTTCCAGCTCAAATAAATTCTCATTCTATACACAATTTATACATTCATTCAATATACTAATACCTTTGCTTATGAAAGACAAAAAATATTACTTATCTCTAAAAAAAATGTACCTTATATGGTGCAGGGTAATCCTTAGGACGATACTGGATGGAAAATAATAAGCCAGGTTTAAACTCTCCATACATCATATTCTTTGGAAACGTACAATGGAGCATCATAGATGTTGGCGTGATGTTTGTAAACTCTGCCCTCTGTGGAGCACCTGGCTTTACTATTAAAATGAAAACAATTTTTTTTTAAAAATAGAGCTAAAATTTTCTCTGATTAACTGGCATAAGAGATAACAACCTATTACACAGGTCATTAAGGAAAAATAATACAATGGAAGCACAATACACATCATTTTGATTCACATCTTCATTAAAGACTTCTACATAACAAGATATTTTAAATGACTCCTAACATTAATTCCACAATATTTTTACAGGTTCTACTTACTTATTTACAGAAACCTTAGCTAAATTTAGAGATTGCTAACTAACACTTATCTCTCATCACCAAATTCAGCATATGCAGATGGCAATTCATTTGATTTCACTATAATGTAAGTAAATATACAATAGTAATTAGTTTTGTGGTACTTCTTGCATGATCCTATAAATACTAATTAAGGTACTTCAGCAATTTCTGGTCAAACATGTACATTACTCAGTTTTTTGCATAGTTGCTCATCTCATGTACACAGCAATCTGTTTTTGCTAAAAAGACACCAGCGGAGGAACTGCACAAACTCGGCACTGCGCACAACTTTGCCATCAAATCTTAAAGCAAGGGAAAAAAAGAGGTACATGATGCCTTTGATCAAGCCACATTATGCTCTATGTGTGCAGGAACCCAAGTTGAAAATTTCACCAAAGACAATAAAAACTGCAGTATGTGATCCACTATTATGCTAGAATGCTGAAATTTCCTTAGAAGGGATCACATTTTGAAATCACACCATTTAAAATATCCAGAGAAATGGAAAGCTGTCTGTAGGAGATGCTATGCATGCACCATGGTTGCCATGAATAATTATTAGCAATATCGTGAGTTGCAATATAAGAACTTTTTGACATCACACTTTTTATGGCTTTTCATGGGATCAAATAATCTAAAATTACCTTTTACTGAATGCTGAAACAACAGTATTTTCTTCTTTTAAAAAGAACTTTTTGTTGATGTTTTCACTTTATGAATGAATAAATAATCCCAAAACTGTTTGTAACCAATGGATAAAAGGAAAAGAATCTTAAATGAAGTTTGCTGCGAAGCTCTAATTACCAGTTTTTCATGAATAGCTCAATTTCTTTGCTAATTATATCCACATTAATTTTAAACTCTTGCATCCTAAAATGTAGATTTTATACCATTCAGAAATTTACACAGGTTATTACAACAATTTTGGCCACCTTTTAAATAATAATAATATAATATGAATCAAGGTGATATTTATGTATATATGTTTTTTTTTAATAATATACTGGCATACGACTGAAGGAGTTTCCATTCTTCCTTGGTTGGTTCCTTGACCTTGCATGGCCATTTACAAAATCGTGGAAACCCGAATTTTATGTTATATGATTTTATGAAAAAATTATATATTCATTATATTGTTACAAAATGTCCAGCCACAGTAGGATAGCTTCCTCATAAAGCAGGATTAGGATTGCCAGAAAATAGCATGGGAAGGCAGGGTTGCCAAATTTGGTGAACCTTCTGGGATGAATTCTTATTGGTTTAGCTCAGAATGTTCTTGAACATAAGCCAAAAGCTATATAAACCCTCCTGGTACACGGAGTGCAGAGTCTATCGAGTTGCTAGTTAGTCAGTAAGTGCCTAGTCGAGTTAGTTAAGAGTCAGTGAGCAAGTGTCTCGAAGTCTAGTGCCAAGTTGGTCGTTGAGCGCATCAAGAGAGTCTCTTAGTGTATCGCGAGTTAGAGCATAAGCAAATTTTATCTTAGAGTGTGTTGAGCTCCGAGAATGACCGAGCAGAGTTGGGAACTGTACTCTGGTGCTTTGCCATGAAACTGTCTTCATCATTATAGCCTGAAGGCTACATTGCTGATTGTTTCAGAGTGTTTATAGTAGTTCTTCGACGACAGTAAAAGCATTTTTGGAGCTGTCTTGAATAATACAGGCTAATAAATTGTGTTTTGATACTTTGTGATTTGATACCACTCACTTATGTAAATACCGATAGCTATATATGATGCTCTTTCATAAATAACACTGAGTACAGGTCATAGGAAATGCTTCATTGAATTTTACTTTTTTAGCATGCAATTTTCATTGAAATAGAAAAGCAATAAGAGAAAAGTAAAACTCTCTCATTCGAGCAAGGATTCACAAACTTCCCTAATTTTTTACCACATAAATCAGAATAAAAGATATTTGTAACAATATTTATACCAAAAGGGATGCAATTTTACATTTATTTCAATCTTTAGTGTAAAAACTGTCATCATTAAAGTAATGTAATGTTAGTTAAAAAAATCTTGGTCTACAAAATACTAATATGCTGGCCGATTCACCTGCTCGAGCAATCGGCCTCTTTTAACCCTCTGATGTGACCTCCCTCAAAATCAGACAAATGTTTGTAACCCCGTCTTGTACATCTTAACGGCTTCTTTCATTATATATCCAAGCCATCAGAGTGGTTGTAAATGCTCGCCACTGGCTGCATCTCCTTTTTTACCTTCTACCAGCTGTACATTTCAGATGTGCTTCGTATCTCCACAATGCTACCTGGGGCTCAAGTTTAATCATTTACAGAACTCACCAAATCACATTTACAAGCTACGTTTCATAGTTGTGGCTAAATTTTTTCCTGGATGCATATATATATTTGTAACAGAGTGTACATGAAACTTTATTATGTAAGACAAACAAAAATAAATGAATAAAAAAATATCATTTACCAATTTTGAAGTGGTCAACACTGAAAAGGTATTCACTGGTACCCAAAGAATTATTTCCGACAATCAAAAAGTTCAGCTTCTCAGTAGATCTCATATAGATTGGGTTAGTAGCTGTTGTCCAGCTGCAGCCGTTCTCTAGTTTTTCTGCACAACGCCTCTTCCTGCTATAAAAATTAAAATCCAGTACATTAATACATAAAAAATTTATTTTTAATGCAGATACCAAACATTCTGATAAAACAATTACTATACTTGAAGTCAAATATGCTCTAAAATCATTTCTGGCTGTAAAACATGTATATTCATCATAAGCATGTAAGAACTTTTTTTAATACACAGACTGAACATTACTAATCTAAAAGTTAAAAAGCTAAATCAAGCTTTAAATCAAACAATAGTGTGTAGTGTTTAATAAGCCGGTTTAAAAGTGGAATATTCACCATCTGACTTCATGTGATATATACAATTTAGAATGCATTACTACAACAAGCAGTTTATTCGCCATTCTGAAAGGGGATTTAACAATCTTTATACTATGCTAGCTATAATTCCATCTCACGAAAACTGAACAAGGAGGCTTCATAAAGAGCATGACAAAATTTTGGCACTTACATTTAGTGTAATATTTTTAAATTTGGCATTTCTTTACAAATGAAAAAGAATGATGACAGCAATTATAAAATAAATGCAAGAACATATGCTTTGATTTGAAAAACTACAGAACTTTCTGGATAACCTATATCAAATTGCATAATTGTTAGCATCTTTATGCATCTTCATGTCAATGGCTCCTAAATCAATATAAATGTAAGACAAAATTCTAACTTCAATAGAATTTGCAATTTTTTTTTTTTTTTTTTTTTTTTTTTTTTTTGAGTCTTCTATTTAATTTGGTTATTTCTCTTTTCTAACAACAACAACCAAAAAAAAAGTTACATGCTCATAAAATACCTCTACACTGAAGTCATTTAAAAAATCCCAGCTCATGATGCACATATTTACATAATTCAAAGTCTTCCAGCCAAAAACAATATTAAAATTTAAGCAATAAGAATAAAGTAAAACTATACCTATATATGGTAATCTTATCTTAACCCTTATCAGTACATTTGTTATGAACCCTATCAACAGTTGATACAACGTAATGCAAACAAAATTTTACTACTCCAAGGATATTTAACTGAAGTACCAAAAAATAAAAAGATTACCCTACCAACACCAAATATAATTTTTATTCATCAACTCCGTAGTCAAACACTCATCTCCTACTTTTAAAAACAAATCGGATTCTAAAGACAACTGTTGGCAAAAATGATAAAACAATAATATGCAAATTAAACATTCATAATTATTAAAATATTTGTAAGTTACTTTCAAAACTAATTATTTACATTTTTATGCCTTTACACCCTAATGGAATTTGCACATTTCTTCTTCCCTTTTTTGACAGCATTACTATTTCTAAAAATACATATAATTATGTATGCATTTTATGATGCTCATTTAAAAATATTACCCAGCATTATTTGTACACCACTGAATTAAAATTTTAATTACACATAAAACATCAAAAACATTTGTTAATTACAAAATGCTCCAAATATCATTAAAAACTATCATTTAGATACACTGAAGTGATAAAAGTCATGGGATAGCAATATGCAAATATACAGATGGCAGTAGTATCGCGTAGAAAATGTATAAATGCGAAGTGGTTTGGCAGGGCTTTCATTTGTGTTCAAGTTATTCATGTGAAGAGGCTTTGACGTGATTATGGCCACACGACGAGAATTAAGGACTTTGAACGCGGAATGGTAGTTGGAGCTAGACGCTTGGGTCATTCCATTTCGGATATCGTTAAGGAATTCAACATTCCGAGATCCACAGTGTCAAGAGCGTGCCGAGAGTATCTAATTTCAGGCATAACATCTCACCATGGACAGCGCAGTGGCCGACCACCTGCACTTAACGACCAAGACCAGCGACGTCTGCGTAGACTTGTCAATGTTTACAGACAAGCAACACTGCGTCAAATAACCATAGAAATCAATGTGGGACGTACGAGGGCAGTGTCCGATACAAGAGTGCGGCGAAATTTGTCTTCCTTGGGCTATGCCAGCAGAAGACCGACTCGAGTGCCTTTACTGACAGCACGAATTGCCTGCTGCGACTCTTGTGGGCTCGTGAGCATATCGGTTGGTCCCTAAACGAATAGAAAACCGTGGCTTGGTCAGATGAGTCTCCATTTCAGTTGATAAGAGCTGATGGTAGGGTTCGAGTGTGGCGCAGACCCCACGAAGCCATGGACCCAAGTTGTCACAACAAGGCACTGTTCAAGCTGGTGGTGGTTCCATAATAGTCTGGGCTGTTTTTACATGGCATGGACTCGGTCCTCTAGTGCAACTGAACCGATCATTGACTGGAAATGGATACCTTCAGCTACTTGGAGATCACTTACAGACATTCATGGACTTCACGTACTCAAATAACGATGGGATTTTTATGGATGACTGCGCCATGTCACCGGGCCACAATTGTTCGCGATTGGTTAGAAGAACATTTTGGACAATTCCAGCGAATGATGTGGCCACCTAGATTGCCCGACATGAATCCCATCGAACATTTATGGGACATCATCGAGAGATCAGTTCGTGCCCAAAACCCTGCACGGTCAACATTTTCACAATTATGGATGTCTATAGAGGCAGCATGGCTCAATAATCGTACAGGGAACTTCCAACGACTTGTTGAGTCCATGCCACGTCGAGTTGCTGCACTTCGCTGGGCAAAAGGAGGACCGACAAAATATTAGGTATCCCATGACTTTTGTCACTTCAGTGTACATTATTATATAAATGCATTTTAAATTACATTAACTAGATATATTACTGTAAAATAAAGGTTTAAGTTATGAAAAAGTGCACTCACACGGCTGCATTTATTAAGCAGTTATAATTTGAAAAATAAATTTAAGATTTTATATCATTCTGAATGGTTTTCCACTGGTTCCACCACCTCATCAGAGTAAAATGCATTTATCATTTTCACATCTTTCAGTTTGCTAAGCAATTAGAAGTTGAAAGATAAAGAATTTAAGTCACACCAAATAGTAATGCGGCAATTTGCCAACCAAGCTAATAGGAAGGTAAATTACAGATCTCATTTTTTGTGCAATGAAAAAGTCACATGCATAAAATATGTGACAGAGAGTAAATTTTAAATAATACACATTATGTCCACAAAAGTTCATATTCAGTCTTTATTTTTGCAATTGTTCATCATATACATATACTTTCACTTACAAAAACATGTAAACTTTTCATATAAGTAATTTATAAGTTTTCAAATCCTAGAAATGTGTTAATGTTCTCATGAAGTTTTATTACTTTAGAATCATCATCTAATAATCATATCAAAAATTCATTAAACAAGAAATATTTTTTAATTTTTAATTCATGCATATAATACAACAGATTACCTATGTACCAAACCTGAAGCTAATACTGATTTTAACACAACCAATTCTTAGAACTTTGTATCTTGATAGTCACTGATTGCTAAAAATCTTTGCTTTCCTTATCTTTTGCCAAAATATATACATACTCACTGCTATAAAAATTTGCGCACTAAGAAAGAGTTGTCAGAATGATATGAAATTTTACATATATAAGTACTACTTTGATATAAGTGATTAGAAAATCAAAGAAAAAAGAATCAAAGTACACATGAACGGAAGTTTTAGTACTCTGTTGGACCACATCTAGCACGAATGCACAATGTGGTAAGAGCAGGCAATTGAGGTATACGAGTTCCGTGTGGTGTCCTGAGACATCTCGCTCCACAGTTGCTGTAAACGTTGCCTCTAATTCAGCCAATCTCGTAGGCTGTCCAACTTGCCGTCCCAAACGATCCCATATATGATCGATTGGTGACAAATCTGGGGATCGAGCAGGTCAGGTAAGGGTGTTAATGTGGCGGAGGCAGTCTTGTGAGATCCGTTCTGTGTGTGGCCGAGTATCGTCTTGTTGAAAACAGGCTCCTGGAAACCCTACCATGAGTGACAACACATGTGGCTGAAGGATGTCATGGACATATCGCTCGCCTGTCATTGTGCCATGGATCAATATTGGGGGTGACAGTGTATCGTAAGCAATGGTACCCCATACTATCACACAAACTGTGGGAACGGTGTATCGCTGTAAAGCGAAGGCGCGATTGAGGCATTCACCACAGGGCCTACACACACGAGCACAATTGTTATCACTGGTCAAATTGAATCTAGATTCGTTGCTGAAGACAACCTGATTCCATTCCGTTAAAGTCCAATCCTGTCATGCGCGACACCACTCCAAACGGAGGCGTTGGTGGGTGTCATTGGGAGCACACATAATGGGCGCTGCAATACCAGAAGTCCTTCAACCAGGCAGCTTGTGATGGTTCAGGAAGACACAGAGACCTGTAATGAAGCTGCTGCCAGTGTCTGGATCATGGCCAATGAGACAGTTGGTCCTACATATGCGTGTTGTATGATGTGACGGTCTTCTCGATGACTAGTCGAGGGCATCCTGAGCCTGGTCGCCATGTAAATGACGTCTCTTTTGTCCACTGGTTCCACTACCTCCTTAGAGTAAAATCAGAACAGCCTTTCCTGACGAGCTACACACCGAGCTGACCACCCAGCTTCCATCATCCCAATGATTCTTTTCCTCTCGAACTCTGATAGCTGCTGATATTGGCTTCGATGATGGTGTAACAGCATGTCTACATCAGCGTTTCCTTATCAAAAGTACACTCAAACAAGCTCTGCTTGCCTGTTTTATACTCCAAGAAGAACAACGTTCAACATCCTTTAGTGGCATTACGCAATGCGCAACCACGCTGCATTTCTAATCATTTGCATATCTACTTGACATGTACCTTCATGGCAATGAGTGCATATTCCAATCCTTTTTTCTTGGGGGGGGGGGGGTGAGCATGTCCAAATGACCAATCAAATACATTACTTCTTGACTTCTAAACCATCATGCACTGTGCTTATAAATAAAGTAAAATTTCTACAAATTAGCAACTGACAATGAAAGTAATATCAAATTTGGGACTAAACAAAAAGTGAAACTTTTGGTATGCATAGTATTTGTGAGCATCCTGAAAAATATGGCCATCTCCATCCAAAAAGGGGTGAAAATCAACTGCTTTTGTTTAGCTGTTGCTAACAAAGAAAAACTAGCTTGCACACTTGCTACAGCTATCATACATCTGAACAATTCTTCAGCACTGACACAGAAAAATCATATGCACGCATAATTGCAGATATGAAACTGAGCAAACTGAAAAGCATCATAACATCACATTTAGATGATAAATTCTCAAAAAATTATCATGTTAACTGTTTTGTTTGATTGTTAATGATAATAAGCAATTAATCACATTGAATATAATATAAAAAATCAATCAAGAATTTTAAGAACAGTAGCAGGTCAAAAGTTTTCGGTATTGTAAATCACAAGTTTTTCGATATTGTAAATCAAAAAGGCAAGACTACAGTCAAAAATGAGGAGTTTCCCACTAAACTGAAGTTTGCATCTTTGTACAGACAAAAACCATTTTATAGAGTAGGAGTCATTAGGTTGTAGAGTCATTAGGTTTTTTGAAGCCGTGCGTGAAAATGAAACGTGAAAATGTGAAATGCCCTCACCAGGACTCAAACTCTGGAAATCTCAAACACATGTCACGTATGCTTTCAATAACACCACGAAGGCATGCGGGAAGGAAGGAGAAAATACCTTTATATGGTTATGATGAGCAATACTTGAACTCCTTTTTACTAAAACGTTGGATGCAAAAATAAAATAGTAGCCTACCTAATAAAAAATGTAAAAACATTTCTAAAAATATTACAATTAATTTTAACTCAACAATAAATTTCACTGATACCAATAATACTTTGTTTTAAATTTAACCTATTTTCTAATTACACATTAACAATATCTAAAACTCCTCAAAATTCTTTTAAATTGTACATGAGATTAATTACACAATATCAAAAAACTTTCTAAATTAAAAGACAGTCAGCAAATATAAGTAGAAAAAGATATACTTTACATAATTAGTTTTAGAAAAATTAAATTTTTATCATGTGGACCAACAAACAAAAGATGTTAAATTACTTTGCCCTGAGCATAAGCTCATATATCGAATAATCCGTCTTGACAGGATTGAATGGAAGTTTCCAAGTGCAAGTTAAGTTGAAAAATTCCAAGCTGATGCAGGTGAAGTTTTCAACACTTAAAGGCTTATCTGAAATATTTAATATAAACTTATAATATTCAAAGAATTCATTCATTTTAAAAATAAACCATCAGAAAGTCACTTATTTTAAAAATAAGTTTCAGACAAAAGTTCAGAAAATAAGTTTTCATTCATATTTAAATAATAAACAAATTTTAAAAAATTAAATAAATAAAAAATACTTTCTTATTTAAATGAAATATAATAAATCAACCTTATCAAGTTGATATATTTCCTATTTAAATGAAATATAATAAATCAACCTTATCAGTGGGACTATTTATTACACATTCCAGTGCAGTAAATAGTCCCACTGAAGGTTACTGCAATAACCAGACCTCATTTTCAGATTGGGTGCACAGTAAGTAGACACATTACAATTTTTTAATATATTTATTTAATATATAACAAAATACGATAGCTGCTTTAAGAATGATTGGTGATCTAAAACTGACTATTCTAGATTTTATGTTCTCCCCCCAAATTCGAGATCTTTCCATGTTACAGAGTACTTTCTGCATCTACTAGGTATAAATAACACTCAAGTAATTACATCATTCCTTTCCTAGCTTCCACCACTGCCGAAAATGTCCCCGCTGCTCTGCTTGATGTCCCCCTCTTTTACCTGTGTATGTAAAAAATTACTGTAATTGTTTATGATAAAAAAAGCATATTGTCTACAAAGAATGATTCTAATGTGCCTAGAAATAAAGATGGTAATTAGCTGAACTTGGTTAGCGTCAACATCCACTTCCTGACTTCCCACTCGACTATCGAAAACTGTTAAAGTATCGGATTCCTCCTATGTACCTAAAATACTTTATAATTTTTTTTTACTTTATAATTTTTTGTCTCTTTTGGATATGATAACATTACCTTAAACCTTAGCTGGAGGGTAATGAAGGATATAGAAGAGTAAAGAAATTATCTTGTAAATTTTTATTGTAAGTATTTTGTAAATATGTATCAATACTGGATTCTTTCCTTTTACTAATAAAGGGCCAACTCTTTTCAAAAGTCTCAATTATAGCCCGAATTGAGTGAAGATTTTAATCTTCTTCTTCTAATTTTCCATACTTTAGCCAGTATTAAGTTTTGATATACCAATTCAAATCAAGTTCAGTAAACTTTTAATATTTTCTTTCATTAAATACAACTTTTAATTAACTTCCTAAAGGAATTTTTGAGGAATTTCTGGGAATTTTTTAGAGGTTTTTTAAGGACTTCATTTCAAAAAAATTTTGAGAAATTTTACTTTAAAACTTTAATATTAAAACATTTCAGTTTTTTTTAATTACTTTAATTTTTTGCAATTTTCACATAAAATATCTTTCACTTAATTTTTTTTAACAATTTTCACAATTTTTCAACAGAACACACATTTCAAATTGCAAACATTTTTTTTTTTTTTCACATACCACTTCACTTTAATTTCCTTCAAGCAAACATACATCTCTTGATTGGCTCAGTTACTTAACTCCCTAAATAATTGATATTACTACCTTTAGGATTTTTAATTTAATTTAATTTAATTTAATTATATTAATATTTACAAAAAATTTTTTACTATAACAAAGATAGTAGCTTGACACTCAACTTTACCTACATAAGCGCCATCTATATAATTTAAAGAACACACTTACTTCTCTTTCACAACACTTTTGCAGACCCCAACACTCATATAGTAGGTAAATTAGAATTAAAACTTACTATTTACTTGCTTTAAGTATTTTTTTAAAATTTTTTATGTAGTATCTAAGCATTTTCTAAATATGAAATTATTTTTAAATATATATTTATTTTAAAATTGTGAATTAGTCTTTTTGTTTCTTTTCGTTTTTTATTTCTTATTGGTTTATATGGATTATGTATTGTTCTTTTATAGTTTCTTTTTATTGATATGCATATTCGTGTAGGGGAAGTTTCTGTAGACAAGGATTTCTAAAATACATTGGTTTCTAGATTTTTTTATTATTTTATAAAAAATTAATTTTTTAAAAAATTTAATTTTTAAGAAAAAGTTTAATTCTTGACTTTACTTGCTTGTTTCTCAAAAGACTTAATTAGTATTTTCCTTTTTGAACTTTAATTCTTAAATGTTAATACTTAAATGTTAATTTCTAAGAGTACCACTTTATTGGAATTACTTTTGGTTTTGACTTTTACCCTTGCCTGCATGAATGACAAAACACGAATTGAATGATTGGAGAGTTAGGTTTGGAGGCAACTTCCCCTTGATAAGTCTGTCTCCTGCCTACTCTACGATCATTCACATATGCATTTTTTTTAAAATTGTTTAATTTAATTTTAATGTATTAAATTAGTAGATTTATTTTCATGGATAGATTTTACACTTGATTTGCTTATGCTTCTGAATTTAAATGATATTGTAGATTAGTTCGAGAATTAAATCTTTTACATGTTTGCATATATTTAAATTATTTTGGCTTTTTTTTTTTTTTTTTTTAATTTAAATTTGCTTTTCTACTTTTTTACTTTTATACGTATTTGTTTATAATTTAAATTTGTTTTAATTTAATGAACAGGCACTTTTTTTAATAGGCATTAGCCTTGTGCCAGTACAAGGGCCAAAAGTGATAACCATTTCACTATGGGAGGACCTAATAGGTGTCCACCATAGCCTCCTATGAAGGGATGGACAGATACAACTGTGCCCTCTTTGGGATCCGAATCCAGACGCATCGCTATGGCAGTCAGAGTCACTGATCACTATACTGGATGGACAGCAATTTAAAAAATACAATTAATTATTTTTTGTCTATTTCAATAACATCCAATGTATTATATGAATAAAATTTATTAGTTTGGTGAAATCGGTAAAATAAATTTATACAGATCTGGATGAGAGAAAAATCATTACCTTCATATAAAATCAGGAAAATGACCTTTGATAGTTAATTTTTCCTCTCAATAAACAATCAATTCTACCCATAACTTAAACCTACCCTTCTACCCTAATTTTGTGTTAATTCTACACTGATTTGTTGAAAACTAAAATTCTGCCCTGATTTTGTGTCTAGACAAGGGGTTTTCAACCATTTCACCATTTCAGGCGGAAATGCAATCAGCCTGTTATTTACCTATTAAGTATTTAGTTTTAGTTTATGAATATAAAAAAACTACCTTTACCATTTCCTATACTTTTATTTGTAACTTATAAAACACATTAAAAAATAAACTAAATTTAAAATAAATGTTTTTTTTCAAGTTTTGGAAAAGAGGGAGAATAATCGTCTAGTAATGCTGAAAAAGGTGCATAGGGGAAAATGGTTGAGAACCACTCCTCTAGAGTACTGGGTATTATTTAAAAAATGGAATTAAATAGTTTGTGTAAAACAGCTGACATCCACATTTAAGTCAGAACATTCCAGATGGAATATATATTGAACATAAAGTATTTAAATCACTCCTTTGAAACCTTAAAGGTATATGAAAATTCAAAGTTCTGCAGAAATGAAATTTAGCTTTGTTTCCATTCTAATCAATGTTAGATTACGAGCAACATGTGAGCATAAGAGCATGATGTTGAAATAATACTTAATGAGTAACATCATTGCTTCACATATAAGCTCCATGTTTCATATAAGCTCCATATTTTGACAATATGCTCTATGCCAATTAATGACACTAAGCAGCCTAAGACTGCTTGAAGTGGAAACAAAGCCAAATTTCCACTTCTGCAGAATTTTGAATTTTCTTCTACCTTTAAGGTTTCACAAGAACAAATTACTTATGTATTTAATATGTACATCTTTCTATTTTACTAGGCAAAACTTAAGTTACTTTTATTCCAAATTTAATCTGTCTATTATTGAAACTAAGTATTTCTCATCTGTGGATCACCTTGCAGTCCTGCTAGGTTTTCAAAACAGACAAAAAATAAAATTTCAAATTAACTGCTTATAACATACCACAGCTGAAATTCTCAGCATTTGATAATTAATTACACATGCCAATCATCTACCACTTTTTCTCTCTAGACTGACATGTCATACAATTTATCACTTGTTACTCTTTAAATACCAACTTCTCTAGTCTTAGCAACTCCATTCTATAGGACTTCATTCTATAGAACTATAAAACAGGGATTTAAAACAGTATCATTATTGTGCTTCTTGCCATTCTTTTGATGTACATTTGCCACTGCACCTGGAAACCATCCCAGTTCATTACAATGCACCAAAGTTCCAAATACTTTCTTAATGCACTTACAACTTTTAATAGTTTCAGATATGCACTCAAATGTCACAACATAATAAACTGTACTTATCAAAAATCAGGCATATTTCCGCATTCATTTTTTTCATTTGCCTTTTTTCAGATGACAATGGGAGAAGTCTTAGAGTAAACTTCTTTTGGAATCCAAGCAAATCAGATTCAGAAATTTAACTTAGATTACTTTCCTATTTCTATTTTATGCAGCCAACCACAGGCAAACTTTATAAAAGCATATACATTAACTGATTCTTTGCCAGTTTATCCAACAGTTATGTAGCTGAAATCCTTCTTAGGTGATAAAGATTAGCAATTTTCTCTGTTGCACAGTGTCCACAGCACATTGGAAAAGTGGCTTTGAACCGGATTTTTCAAAAGAAAGGAATAAAATGATATCCTTCATTTAAGTAGCATTAATAGTGTAGAATTTGTATGTAATGATCGTATTAATATCAGTGATGTTTGTACTATTAAAGAAACATCTAGCAGTACTCGCAACTACTCAAAGAAAAAATACTATACTGAGAGTTGTTCAGAATTTGGATTTACTTGGTAAATAATGAGGATATGTTACAAAGTGCTTGCAAAGAAATGCATGAAACCTGCAAATTGAAACAGCATTTAAAGATGAAGCATGCAAGTATAAAATATAAATCTGTCAAATTTTTCCAATGATGTACTGAACTGAATAAAATAATCAAAATTATTTCTAAGAAGTTTCCTATACTGCAAATCTTCACACTGCAAAGAGGAGAACAACACTACATACCTTAATAATTCCAACTACAAAACATAAAGTTAAAACAATGTTTAATGAAATATTACCTTAAGACATCAGATTAATACCAATGTCAAACAATACAATTACATGTTAAATCAATAACATGGCTAATAATATAGAGTTTGGACTTAGAATAATGGAGAGTCAAAAGAATAAAATTAAGTCTATTTTGTTCCCTTCAGATGGCCAAACAACACACATTTTGATGAGGCAGTTAATTTGTTATGTCAGAAATAATGTGAGTATAAATGGCATGCTTGGAGGTATGTTATTTTTTAATGTTCCGTTAATCTTTACAAAAGGAGGGGAAAATTTTGAAGTTTTAAATATGTATGTGGAAAAGCGTGCAATTGATTAGGAAAAATATGCAAGTTTTCGTTCAGATGCAGCTGCTGTGCTTGCCAGTAATTATAACCAATTGCGACTAAATTTAGAGATATACCACCTGTTGTAACCCAGATTCATCGTTTCTTTCACAAGAAAAAGTTAAAGTCATCTAAATTCAAAAACATGCCAGAAGACAGCATTAAGATAATCAATTTCATTAACTTCTGAATAGCAACACATTTTCTTTACTTTGCAATGACACAGGTAGCCAGCTAAAACAACTTTTTCCTCATTCTGAAGTTTGCTGGCTTTCATAATGTAAGGCACTCACAAGGCTCTTACAGTTAAGATAGAAATTGTTGTTATTACAAACCAAATTAATGAAGATTTTACACCATTTCTTCTGATGACATTGGCGTATTTATTCTCAAAACTAAATGAATAGGATCCCTGTTGATAAAGTAATTCTTCTCAATGCCCAGAAAGCGTAAATAAATGAGCATGAAAAGAAACTTGGTCCGTATGTTAGCTGTGTGAAACACAGAAAATTTTCACCATTTTCAATTTTAGTAGAAAATGGTATTGCTTTCTTTTTAGTAGAAAATGATATTGTTATTGGAAAAGAACAGTAGATTAATAAAGTTCGTTTGCATCCTGAAAATTTGAGATCATAATTTGAAACTCATCTTCAAAGGAGTAAATATAAAGACTTTTCATGGCTTTGTGATCTGTTTCATTGTAATATTAAAAATAACAAATGGTAATTAAGTGAAAAAGAACACTGTTAAATAACTTTTGGGTTAATTGAGTTCTCAAACTAAGTGATTTAAAAGCAGTAAATGCAGTACTACATTGCTACTGTTATTAATTATTACAGTTTAAAGCAAGGCTGGTACCTGCACATCCAAGTAGGCATGTCAGGTATCCCTGAGCCTTGCAAACTGCTAAGCTTCCTCCCTGTATAGAAGGGCTTCCTCCCCGAGGGAAACTAACTGCCAAGCTTCCTCCCTGGGATAAAAGGGCTTCCTCCCCAAGGAAAAGCACCCTGGGGTGTGTGGTCCAAGAGTCCACCCTTTCCCTTGCCATCAACCTCTTCAGAGTATTTTGGCTAGTTGTTTATTCCGACTGCCTCTTTGCTGCACAGACACTATACATTTACAAACATCTATGCCTCTTCCAGAATTTGAACTCAAGCCCTTTGGTATAGCAGTCAGCATCATTAACCACTAGCCTGTCTGGGCAGTATTATTAATTCATTAAAATTGCTATATTTTTTTTTCTTTTTATAATAACTAATAAGCCATTGACCACACAAGCAGTTAATACACACGATGTCGAAATAACTGTAAATTTCAGTTCCACTGAAATGTGCAATTTACAGCATAAATATATGAGCTGGTTAAAAACTTCCTTCACTAAATCTGTAAAATATTCATAAAATCATTGTTCCTAAAAATTATTTTTCAACGAATGGTAAATTAAGATCTTCCTTTGAACATGAAGCTAAGACAATAATAAATATTTTTAATGAGACAATAAATAATTTTTAATAATACAATTAATAAATATTTTTTTCATTATCAAAAATAATAAAAAATTTACTTACAACCAACAACAACGTTCGTATTACAGATATAAGGCATGGAACCATTGATGTCCGGATGCCGTACATAGCAGGAATATATTCCAGTGTCATTTACAGTTGCATTTTCGACAAAGTACTCTGCAGTTAATTCATCTACAATGGTAAGATTTTTTATTGATGTTGTTTTAAATTTGAACAGCAAATTTTCTGAGCTCGCATTATATATTGTGTTCTTGAACTGAATTTTAGTAGAAAATAATGAACACTGGATTCTAAGAGGCGAGCCAACTTCCAATGTCATGTCTTTGGTTGTAACTGGAACAAAATGGGAGATTTAATAACTAATTACAATATGCATGCAATATTTTAATTTCTACAGTTTAGTTTAAATTATCACAGGAAACCTGAAAAAGCCACAATTTATGTAGTATTAACCTTTGGTATTCTAAACCCATCTACAATATGCCATTAAACTGTAAGGCTTTTCTCCCCTCCTAATATGTTTTCTGAAACAAATGGCATACATTTATAAATGAGAGTAGTTATTTATTATACTAAAAATACAGTTGGATTAAAGAAAAATTACAGTGTTGTTATATCTTTAAATATCATTTTTTTGCTATCAAAGTTATCTCATTATATTCATTATTTAATTACCACTCAAACTAATGCAGTTAAAGGGTCAAATTTTTTTAAGCCAGATTATTCAAACTTGTTAAGATGGTAATGACTGAAGTAATTGACATAAATTAAACATTACTGTAGGAAATTAAAAATTTTACTCCTATGAACACAAGAGAAAAACAGCCTTATTGGTTTACAGATCACAGTACAGCATAAGCATAACATTAATAAGTACAGTGAGACCAAAAAAGTCATGCGATACATTTCACAGCACTATCTGCTTTGCAGTGCATTAAACTAAATTCTAAAACATCTCAAAGTATACCTGTAATTATTTGATGGCTTTGCACACATGTTAAAAAATAGGAGCACTTAAAATAACAATGTTGACATGAATATTTAACAAAATAAAAGATTATATGTACACATAACAGAAATAACACATTGATTTTAGTTGAAAACAAACAGGCAGAAAAAAAAAATTTGCACTTACATCCACGTGCCACAGAGACTGAGGGACAACATGTTACTAGAGTGATGTGCCATGCTTGTATCAGTAGAACACTAACGAAGAATAATTTAACTTTAAAAAATATTGCAGCCATTTTATTATTCCATCACTAGGCAAAATACCAAAGCAGTTTTGAAACCTAAGGGAAAAAAAAAGAAACAAATTTCTTTTGAATACATGTAAGAAAATGTTCAGTACATCTGGAGATTGGGAGGGGGATCGAAGCAAGGAAGAAGGGAAATCTTATATGTTTATATGAATATATATATATATTTAATGATAGATATATATATATATTTTAATGGTGACACATAATGTTTACATTAATACATATAGTTGATAAATAATCTCCTGTAGAGAAAAATATACATGATAATTAGCATTAACTGTATTTTTTAGGAAAAGTACTGTAACATCTCTAGTAGAAAAAATATCTACTTTCTTGTTAAAGCAACCATTCAATAAGCTTTTAAAAAACATTTAAAATTAGTATATTTCAAACTGGAAATTAATTTGTCAATTTGGTAACCAAGAATGGAAGCTGTTTTATTTAATGAGAAAATACCTAACGCTATAACACTGCTAACTAAATACATGGAATTTATTTAAAATATCAACGCTCTTAATATTATCTAAACTGTAATGATAAACTCTTTAAATCAATCACATTAGTGACAATTCTCTTTCCATGAAATGGAAGCATCAAACATAAGCACTAAAATTGGGAAGTGTGAAAATTGCACAGTGTACAAAAGATTAAATACAACTAAAAATGCTAATAAAACTTACATTTTTGCTGTTGCATGTGATGGTATATTAAAAAAAAAAAGTGAAACACTAAAATTTCAGATTCATGAAACAGACATTTCTAGTGAAAAACAAAATTCTGTTATCACCATAATCACATTGACATGATTTTCTTCTTGGAAATGTTTATTCCACAAGAATGGATCTAAACTTTGCTTCTCAGTGTAGACATTTCTTAAAATTTTTATTTTAAGATAGCTACCAAACTCTTTGGCAACTAAATCTTCTGCTTCATCTATGTCAGAATTTGTTTAACTATACTTCCTTTTCAGTATTACTTAAGCACTTAGCTGCTAAAGTGAACAAAAGGTAGCAAGCAAAATTAATGTACATTAAAAGCACAAACTAGAGATAAGAAACAGATAAGCATTCTCAAACTATGACTGCAGATGGCTTGTGCAAAGAAAATGTCAACCCAGATAATCAATAAGTACTTCCCCCTCCCTTTCTTGCTTGAACTGAATGTTATTCTAAACTCTGCATTATTTAACTCTTCAACCAGCCATGGGTTTTGTTCTAAAAAAGACCATGAGTAAATGGCATTTTCTTGATTATAAATTCTAAAATAACCCTACCATTTTGTGCCTTGAGTTAAATTTTCAAATGTATATTAATATACTACTTTAATCGTTTGGACATACTTTAGACAAATATTTTTGAACGTGTATATACAGTTTGGTTATGAATTCGCTGAACATACTACTCAAAACAAAAAATAAAAATAATTTATAACTACAATATTTCTTCACATATGTTTTGCACAAGATTTAATTAATCAAAATGATGTGAAGAAATTTTATAAAATTATAGTGTTTTATAAAGTTATATTGTATGTTAATATGAAGTTACGTTGATATTTATTCTTATGGTTATCAGATGTCACAATTTTGGTAAGACAGATTTAATACTTTAAAGTATTAATATACATTATCCCATAAAGAATGTAACTTTTAAGTCAATCATTTAAGAAGTAACTAGAACAGAAATGGCAGGCTAGAACTAGAACAGAAATTCTTTATAAGAGATCATGATTTTACAGATTTGTTAATTCACAATTATATTTATATAAATATAGTATACTAACTTCCATTATAAAACGTATATTTATTTTTTAAAACTGAAACAAACAAAAGTGATTTTGCAAAACATTCAATGACTAGTCAAAAGAGAAGTTTTAACTTATTTTCAAGGTAACTTTCAAAAAAAAAAAAAAAAAAAAAAAAAAAAACACTACTTTTTGCCATTGTTTTTCTAGGTGAAATAAATCTAACTAAATGCACCTAAAAATGAAAAAAAAAGGGAGGGAAGATGTACTGTTTTGTCTTTTGACAGATTTATAGTTATATAAAAAAGAATCTGAAAGCTTTCAGATTTTACATTATGCCCAAACGGACCTTTTTTTTTAAAAAAAAAAAGTCTTTTGTACATTAATAAATAGTTATTTTTAATTTTATTAACAGATTAATAAATAAATATAAGGGAGCACAATGGACGTGATATTTGCCATCATTGATTAAACTGATTCATTTAGTTACAAATCTCATTAATAATATTAGGTAAGCAGCAATAGTAGCACGAATTCTGAAAATTGATGCTATTCTTAAGGCACGAGCAGGAAAAGGGGCTATTATTGATTGAGCAACACGATGGAGAAGTACATATTTGATGATATGGTGGTGGTTAGAATGATGAACTTTTTCACATGTAGATAACCCTAATGTTTCACCAACAGAAAGACTGTGGAACGATCTTGCAGAATTGGAAACTTTTCTTTCAATACCATATATAGCCACAAGAAAGCTACAATCTGAAGAAGCAACATGAGGTGAGAATGTTATAAAATTTAGATAACCCTAATGTTTCACTAATAGAAAGACTGTGGAATGATCTTTCGAAGAATTAACAGGAGGCGAGAATGGAAGAATAAGATGTTTGTTCTTTCTGAAATGGAGGGTTTATTACACAAGGAATCATTTCTTCAATGAAAAAAAGAGAAACTAGTTTGCTAGACAACAAGATCTTGCTGGGTTCAATATATGTTGATCCAAAACGCCGAATTTTGTTGGATGACGAACAAATTAAAAAAAGCAAAGAAAGCCATCTGTGAACTTTCATTTAGAATGAAATTATTCTCAGAAAAACTGGAGTATTCAAATCAGAACAGTCAAACAGCAGATACTGCAACCGAGTCTCTATCATCCTTCTTCCAATGATGTGTGTGAGATTATGGCAAAGGGGGGGCTCGAGGGCTATCTGCCTAAGGGGAGGGATGCCTTCGTGGAGGACTTTCTAAGGGAAACTGGCTCATATACACGTTACACATGGGGAAAACCACGAAAACACCCATGCAGCCAGCCCGTTCGCGGGATTCGAACCTCGGATCGAACTACCAGTGTTCAGCAACTTTACCGCTCGGCCGCTGGTGGGCGCCTTTCACTGAATTAGAGTTTGAGAAATATTTGGATAATATTGAAAAGGGCTAAGGCAAAACGAATGAAAATAAAGAATCAAGAGCCCTTAGATACAAAAATGAAAAAATACAAACAAGATTTATACACGGCAGAAGAGAAAGAGATTGAAATTCAGAAGAAATAGAGATTTCAGAACTTATAAAAAATCTCTCCTCAAAAGTTAAAGAAAGTATCCCTAACAATAACAGCTTTTCCTCCTACAAAAGTCAGTATGGAAAGACTTCTCAGTTCTGAAATTTATCAAATCAGATCTATAGTCCTCGAACAAAGAAGATCTTGCTGAAGTTATACTGTTTCTTAGAAATTACTAATGCCAGTTTTTCCATTTCATAATAAATGCTAATTAATATAAAAAATTTACTATGCATCTTTTTTTTTCCTTTTTTTTTTAAATTACTTCTTTTATATTAAAAAAAAATAAGCTGTATCCCATGTGTATATGTTTACATATATATGAGGGAGTCGGTCATTTCCCCTACCGACTCCACAGCCCTGATCTCACTCACGTGTTTGTCGAACAGTGATAAAAAGGGGTCACAACTGAAAAAAGTTTATGAAGCCCTGCTATATCATAATCACCATCATAATTTGATATCTGAATTCCGAAAAATGAAATGGCGTATTGACCTTCAGCTGATTTTTCCACTTACTTAGTTTTCAGCCACGAGGATTTTCAATGTTTTGATTAGGATTACCAAGTAATAAGATTATTTACTACATATTAGAATACTTAAAGCAACTGTCAAGACTAATACATTTTTCCAATGTATGATAATTAAACGTATAATTCAAATATGTGTTTAACTAAAATAATTAATACAGAAAATTGAATTCAGCAAAATGAAATGCACTTACTTTAATTACACGACTTACAACAGAATCATTTCATGAACGATTAAAATAGTGTCAAAATCGGATACTTATTAAATATATATGCACACCAAACACTTACGCAAACAAAACTTCACTGTCGAAAGGTCAGAATAAAATTTTCGCACATCACCGCTATCGCACGCAAAAAGATCTTCATTAGATAAAATAGAGGAGATTCATTCAGTGAAAATGGTCACTCACACTTCCACTTCGAACGAAATTTTACGGCGAAACGTTCCAAGATCCGCTGGGAGGACAACGAAATCGACTTACTCGAAACACAAATATACCTTAATTCGAAGCATACACGGGAATAAATTCGAATTCATACTTAAGTACAAACGAGAAATTAGAAGAAAAACAAGTTCAGTCGAGAGATGACATTCCGCAGCACTAGGGAAGTTCTATCTCTGACTGCGAAGAGAGCGCAGAGTGATCATGTGGCGCAAAAAGAATGGGCGGAGCTACTCTAGTCCATGGGGAGGGAAAGTAGAAAAGATAAACAAGAGATTATATCTCAGTTATTGCCGGCAGATGGATTCTCCACTTGCATTTTTTTGCTTTTAACGAATGCCAATTTTTTCTCCGTCCGTGCTTAGAGAATTCTTTAAGTCTAGTATCATAACGATTAGTATAATATGCTATTCTTAATGTTCCACGAAAAACAATTAAACACGATTCCAGGTTTGACGAGTATTTAAATTATTTTTGCCAGAAGCAATTTCAGAAGTTTTCAGAAGGAGAAAAAGTTTTAATCATTCATATACACTTTTTAAACAATTTAAGACCTCCGTACTTTATTTAAAGCTATACATTTAAGTTTGTTATAAAATGAAGACATCAGCTATATCAGTTATTTAAACAATAATAATCCTTTGTTACGAATTAAAGAAGTATTTCAAGTCTTTGATTTTGTTTAAAGTTGTTACTAATTTCATCTACACAAATAATGGAACTAATTATGCTTAAATTATTTTATTTTATTCTTTGAGACACTGAATTTTTACGAATTAAATAAGCATAAGCTTACTTCAATGAGAACTTAATAATCAGACAAAATATTGTTTGTTACAATCTCTTTCACGAATAGTCTTGAACTGCAAAACTTTATAGCGGCATAAATGTTCATTACTTAAAATGGCTTCACTTTCTTCTAAATACAAACATTCTTTCCGAATTACAATAATTAAATTAAAATAATAAATTAGGCTACATTAAATATTGTGATTCATGTTCATTTTATCGTAAATAGGTATTTTGAGGAATTCTGACTCGAACCACTTTGTATGAGTTTAAAAAACTGATTCTTATTCTTTTCTGAAATAATTTATCGAAATAGTGAATATTAATGCGTATATATTATATTCGTTTCTATGAACAAATGCGCGAAATACGAGGTTTACGTTAGTGAAAGGAATAAAGAATATGAGAAGTGATGTTAAAGCCAGAATATTACTCATTTTGGTACTTTTCTGTTAACTCCATACCACGGATTTTCGGCACCATATTAATTACACCACTATAGAAAGACATCGCAAAAGTGTTACGTTCTTCCGAGACAAGTATAACATACTTACTTTTACAGCAAGCAATACCGGTCTTATTCCAGTTAATTTTGATAATCCTGGTAATTCTGAAAGTAACAGTAAAAGAAAAACTGAAAATTTGATTGACGCTAATGAAGACAATTACTCTATACTATAAGTTAAATAAGAATGTTCCAAACTATAATGCAACTTATAATAATAACGCGACAAACTCCAATATCTACTATAGATCTAATGAGAGCGACCACATCTAATTCTAAATTTTTTAAGTTGGTGGATAAATGTGTTTAAATTAATACTCAATCTAATACTGAAAGGAATTTACATTATCAAAATATCATGGTTGTTTATCTAAATCAAATGCACTTTTACTATATTTTGCATTTGCCATTCAATGGTAAAGAAGTATGTCTATTCAGACTGGAGCAAAAACTAAACATAGATTTGGTCCGCTCGACTCAACTAATAGCCAAGGTAATATTTCAATTATTATAAATGATAAATTAGTAATAAAAATATTATTAGCCAAATACAACCAGCAGAATTCGGTAACTCGGTTTTACTTTCAATGAATTTCTCAAGACTCGGGTCATAAATCATAAAAGCAATGGAGAATTTCGAAAAATCGTTCAAGGTAATTGTTCTGGGAGCTTAGCAAATTATTCAAATTCCAAATACTGAACATTACGAAGTAAATAATAGGTGCAAACGACTCATAAATGAAATTAATCGAGGTTTATACTTAAAAAAAAGGGAGGAAGAAATTCCCGAAGCTCTTACTGAAAAAGAATTTCAGTTCTTAAATTAGAACAGCTGATCAGGAATTGCACTAAAACTTGTATGTTGTTATTTCAACTACTCTTAAGTGATAAAATAGAAAATATTTACAAAATTTATCCGATGCTTTTCATACCGCAAATCGAAAAATATGTAAATAAAAATTAATTCCACAGCGCCATACAGGAAAACTGGGCCCCATTCCTTTGATAATCATCATTTACAAACAACCATGTTCGGTAAAATGTTTTGAACGTCACACATTGAATGAATGTTCTTATAAAGGTAAAAACAGAAAATTATACCTGTATAAACCGTCTCGGAGGACATATCGTGGTTTTCTGAGATTTTCCAATGTTTTCCTTTGATGAGCATGTTAGGCTTAACATCAACACCGATTTTAACAAAAAAAACTTTAAATTTTTTGTATTTCTTTATTTCCTTTTTAACTAGGTTGAAATACAGATTATTCCAATATTTTGTTGATTGTTCATCTATTCATACTGAAATGCCCTTGGGAAAAAAAAAATTAAAATTAGGTGTTTACTGAAATTTAGAATTTGCCACGAATTTGACGGATGCTATGATTCAGGGACTAGATATGATTAAAATCCTAAACTTGTAACTGTTATTTGGTGCTTAAGTTTATGTGAATGCTTCTATGGTGCTTTAAACTTAAGAGTATGAAAAGAGTGGTATTTAAGCTACAGTGTGAAAGTAACGTTACGCTCCGGTATAAGTCGTGAAGCAGTGGTATAAATGGTATGAATGTCACGAAGGCTTAATCATAATGCGGCAGTTACGTTTCACACCTGCGAGACAGGATATAAGCCGTAGCCAATTAGAGAAGCTAAATTTGCGCATGCGTGGATGTGTCTACAGCTTTCCCGCTCTGTTTTCTCGTTCAGGTTTCGCGCGTTCGCGCTGCTTGGTCGACTCGTATACCAAGTCGGCATAAAGTTGGAAACTTCGAACCTTATGTCACAGCCCCTAAACCAGTTTTTGTGACGTAGCAAGGTCTGATTACCTGTCTCGCAGGTGTGAACAGAATTCCTGCATTTTATGCCTTATGACTACGCATCTATGACAAGCCCGTGTGGAGGCAGCAGCATTCAGCGATCTTAATCACTTGGCCACTAGTCGGGTTCAGCTACTGAGAATGTTCCATATATTAGATTCTACGAAATTTAGCCATCGGCCAATTCTCCTATAACTGACATGACCCACATCTGCAAATTGGCATCACTTCCACACGTTTTTGATGATGCAGTAAAAAGAGTCGTAATTATACCTCTATAACTGACCGTCTAAAAATACACGTAATATAAATGAGAATAAGCACTAGGAAAAAAGATACAAAGATCCTTTCTGGAAGGAGGATTGATAAAATAACCAGAACATAGTTGCCTGCATACTGAATCCCAAGCAAGTCAAATATAGGATAAAAAGAAAACAGAAGATACTAAAAATTACAAAGCGTCAGAAACAAAAATTTTCGAAAGAATTAATAAAGTCTATGCACGTGAATTTATGTACCTAACAACGGGATTTCAACACAATACAGAAATTGTACCGTTTGTGTAAATATTTATATTCCAGTAATGACTTTTATGCCGCTTTTAACACATACAACGTTTATTTTCATAACTTTTACTCAGGGATAAATAGATCTCTTTTAAGTCCTGACTTTTGCTGCGCTTGTATATTTATAACGTTTAAAAACATCATGTTGTCGAATACTTGTTTTTTGGAACTTATAACGCATATAATGTTTAGCCTAACTTTTGCGTCGAATTCCTTTTGCGAAGCATCATTTTTCAAATAACACTTATCCTCCCTTTATATAACTTATTGTTACACGCTTATAACTCAAACACTTGTAATTCATTGTAACTTTGAGTAGAATCCCTTTCGCAAAAAGCACTTTTCAAATATCGCCTATAATTTACCCTCACTTTTGCGGTGTATATCTTACTTTTATAGCGCTTATAATTTATTTCTATGCGATTTTTTAGCATAATCTGTGGCGTTTCCATTTTAGGCCCCTGGAAAACCAGTACGCTGCTTCCTCAAATATATTATTATTAATGACAAGTCATTTGATATAATAGATTATGATGCGGCTCCTATGATTATGAGGCCCCCGGCAAGTACCCATTGGGCCCATACTGTAAGACGGCCCTGATGATTATGGATATCGCTAATAACTTATCCTCACTTTTGCCGTGTATCTCTTCGTCCAAATAACACTTATAAGGCGTATATAACTGAAAAGAGGGCTCCACAGTATAATTTTTAACACCGTCATCTAAACTTAATTCATTTTCCATTAGAAAACTGTTAATTTTTGCAAAGCATTGCAAGTCATTCTTTTTGACATTATTTTTACGGATTTTGTATTTAGTTGGCTTTTTTTTAGTACAATTGTAATTAAAATCGTTTTATTTCCCCGTGCAACGCAGCGCGTGACAAATTTTAAGAGAAAGTTATGCAGGAAAAGTAAAAATACAAGAGCATGTGCATTTAACATTTGATAAAAGTTTATCTCCGTAATTGATATTTAATTTAAATAAATGTTAACTGCAACCGTGCTGCTTTCCAGAAATTGCTAGAACTCTCTCGTGCAGCCAATTAAAAAAGCTATAAAAGCCAGAGACAGAACATCTCATCTCAGTTGTTTTAGTACGCTGATCTTGTTTACTTAGCTGCTCTAAATTTTGATCGGATTAGCTTTCTATGCGCTTTGGATTGTGTTCCATTTAACGTTTTAGTAGTTTAAAATACAGCTACTGACTATATTGCGTGATGTTGTGATATTATCCGAATATCTTTGTGGGAAAATCCTGCGTTTTGTTATTTAATCTTGTGATAAGAATAAATTTTGTTAACTTTTTAGCGGACTTGTGCATTCAATCTACGAGTTACGAACCCGTACGCACGCAACAATATTATGATCACTTGTTTAAGCCTTAAAACTAATCTATAACTAAATGTATCTTTAGATTTTTTTAGTTAATAAACACCAGTGAACTATAGTGAGAGCTTTACAATTTTCTTTTTGAATTTTTAACTTGACTTACGGAAGCCCA